TTCGACCGCTGTTCTTACTGAAATCCGCCGCCGAATCGTCGTATTGCTTTCGGGCGACTCTCTTTTTACTTCGTCGGACTTCTCGGCTCCGCCGACAAGGGACCCCCCACCGCGACCGCACAGCACGTCCGCCGCCAGAATTTTTCTCATCCTCACCGAACCCCACAGTGACGCTGCTAAATATACTACAGATGTCGAATTCGCATCATCTGAATCAGCTACAGATAAAGCCTGGGAGATGTACGTTATCTAAGCCACTTTTTTTTCTTTTGTTTCACATCTGTTCATGTTAATTTGTTTGCATTGTGCATTTATCGCATTAGATACCTCCAGTTCAGTTTTGGGCATTGTCCCAATTCATCATTGCAGACAGTTGCTTTAGTATATGTTTGTGTTGTCTTTTTCGGCAGTAAAATTGATATAAGAATTTGGTTGGCAATATCCCGTGGATATTCGTCAATTTATGGATGACATTGTCCCCAAATGAGGTCTTGAACATTGGACGGGCTTATGGATCCTCCAATTTCAGAACTATGGTTAGTTTTGGTATGGATTCCATCCGACAGGCCACCTCATGTGCTGCTGATAATGTGGATTTAGCCAGCGGGAAGTTTTTTGCTTTCAATGATAGCCATAACGCGACTAAACTAGCGTACACGTTTGATCTTACATTGGGTGCGCAACATACTGCGGTTTAATGATGAAGGGGAGAAACGCCGAAGGAATCGGCTGCATGGATATAGAATTGGACACATAACGTTGCAAGCAACAAGCCAGTCAATACAAGAGTGGCATCCGCTGCTGCTCACACAAACACTGCAGGTTTAATGTACAGGTCACATATAAGTCACATGTGATACTTACCAGTAAAGTCACATATAAGACTCAAATGTCACAAATAAAGACAATATATCACAAATAAGGTCCAAATGTCACGTGGTATGTCTTCAGGTCACATATATAATAGAATATATGACGTGTATCCAGAACATGAAAATATACTTTTGAATACTTACTTAAGCTCTGTTTCTGACCCTATGGCATGAGTGGGTCCTTCATCTCTTTCAGTAACAGTCATGGTCAACGTATTTAACCCCATTGAACGATGATAACCTATCATATTGAGAATATCTTCATCTTTTGAAAGCTCAAACGAGACATTGGGAAACTTATCGATAGAGTAACTTATCAACAAACTTTCGAACCGTACTCTAAAATTCTCTGCGGCTTTCATCTTCAATTCGGCTAAACTTGTTGCTGAATTGACTTTAATAAGGGTTGCGTTACTGTTAAATGAAATCACACACATTAAAGAATCTTCCATTTTGGTTGTTGAAGAAGTTAAGAGGAAAAAGTTCAGAATATAAATGATTGTTGAAGGTTGTTGAAGATTTTAGCAGTAGATCAAAAGAGAGAAGAGTATATATGAGGAATGCAATATTTTGGAGGGAACCGTGTACATTTTTCCCTCCATTTTTCCCCTTCCCTGCATAAAACCCCCCACCTCACTGATTTGACACCGCTACTTCATGATGGGTTGCTTTGCTGGCGAATAAGACAAAACCCAAGTTCTTCAATGCATAGCCGATTTCAGCGCCCACCCCCAAATCGAAAATGAGAGAAGAAAGGGCAAAATGGGTACTGCTGGAAAAATACACTATAAAGTAGAGAAACACTGTTGGGTTTGGGGTGAGAAAGCATGAGTACTTGGGTCAAGGTGCCCCCAAGTGTTTGACTCTAGTTGGGGGGTGGGGATGCATAGCCGAATTTTATTTGGTTCCCCCAAGCAATTTTCCCTTTTTTTAAATAACTCGGTCCGAAATTGAAACCAAAACCGTAGGAGTCATATTTGAACCTACTAACCGTTCAAATAACCAGCGATGAATTGTGAAACTATAACCTTGGTTTCGTGTGACTTGAACTAAATACAATTGTGTTTGATTTGTTTGTTTTATCGAATATTGTGATACATTTTACAAAAACATAGTACTATGCACGATCTTATATTTCGATATATTTCAATTATTTCCCATAGGGAGAAAAGTATATATGCATATATTTTCCCCCTTTTTACTCTTTTACCTTTTCCGGAGAAGAGTGTATAAATGCAACTAGCTAACTAGCTCAAGAGAAAACCGAACTCAACAAGTGAATTGGATACGAGGGAATAATAAAAACAAAAGATGAGGCCTGAGAACAAGAAAATTGTTAATTTATCTCATCTTTTTTTTTCCCCTTTTGTCAAGGTATGTGCTCTTTGTTTAGCCGTATTAATCAAGATGTGAACAATTTGACAGCCATATTAGTCAAGATTTATATAATTAAACACCAGAGACGTGATCCTCTTTTTCTTTCTTCAGTTGGAGGAGAAGCTTGAGACTGTCCTCGTCAACACATGAAAATTATCTCCAAGTCCCATATAGTTAGTTATCTAGTCAATTTTTGTTGGTTTTCAAGATTTTGCATGTCCATTCGATCTCGTGATTCAAATTTGTTTATCATCAGTGATTAATGTTTTAAAAGGAGTTTGTGGTCAGCAGTGGTTATGAAGAAAACTATTTGCCCTAGATGAGAACCAAACATATGATCGATCAAAATCTATCTACCTCAAAAATGATTGAGAACCAAAGGTTGAGTCGCTGAAGACATCAATAGTCCTGATGATTAAGACTGTACGTGGGAGTACGGTCTATAAAAAGAGACACGCAGAGTAGTACTCAACCG